ACACACACACACACACACACACACACACACACACACACACACACACACACACACACACACACATAAATACACACGTCCGTGCGCGTCATTGACGTCACATCGCGCTCTCTTCCTCCCTTCGTCCCTCTCTTCTCTTCCGCCCCTTTACTTCCCTTTCCCCTCTACTTTCCGCTCGCGCGTCGCGCGTACGCGTGCGTCTGTAGTACGTGTATGAAACGGTGCGTAGTTCGGAACGTTATTTTTCTTCCGGCACGGGAAGAGTGCGAGGGTGCCCGCCGTCTATGCGCGACTCCTCGGAGAACGTCACCGCTTCGTGACCCAGGGGCGTTACGCACCGATGTAAGACGCACTTCCAATGTGCATTGCGTGTACCGTTCCTCATCGTTCCTTCATTCTTTACCTTACTTTTTCCTTTTTTTCTCCACATTAAGTAGCGTCTCTCACGAGACCGCCAGTCTATTAAATTTATGGACAATTTGTACGTTTTTATTGTCGATGACAATGCTCGTTAAATTATTTATTTCCTCGCCGAAATAAACTCCGCAATTTCGCTTAGGGAACGTCTCACGGTTAGATTTGTTGCGAGAATTAAAAAAAGAGAAATGATTTACGACGCGACTATCGTTACGTAAATATATGTAAATGTGACGTAAACGATGCGTCTGGGTTTACGCAATAATCTTTCTCTTTTTCTCTCTTTCCCCTCTTGCCTTTTGCCTGGTTTGCAGTTTTTCCCCAAACGGAACACTACATCTTTGTGGCTTACTGATGTGGGATAGCTATAGATTTGTTATCGCCATTACAACTATGTGGAGGATACTTTGGTAGTTACAGAGTTTCCCCTTGTTTACAGGTTTTAGCTGGATTATGCATCAGCTTCCACTGAATATTCTCGCTGCTTTTCAGTTTGTAAATGCTACAACATGCCACCCAAGCAGAGGAAAATAGCTATTATGGGCTATAGATCCGTAGGTAAGACATGTCAATATTTGAGCATTAACATTCTTAGATTAGTCCTCTGCCACTAAAACTTTCTTGTTAACTTATTATCAAACTTTAAATATATATATTTTTTTTAATATGAGTATCTATAAAGAGTAGACCAATTATTTTATCCATCCATGCAGTGACTTATATTTTATCATTAATATATTTATTAATCATACCTAAATATATAATTATTTTAATAGAGATATTCAATTTTGTAATAGGTAAATCATCTCTTAGTATACAGTTTGTCGAAGGACAATTTGTGGACTCATATGATCCTACGATAGAAAATAGTAAGAGATTCTGTTGTTTATTAGCTTCTATTATTTTATACTAAGATTCTGCATTTTATAACAAAATTATATCAATGAAAATATTACAGATCTCTTGTATGTTACAGCATTTACAAAGAGTACACGAGTAAATAGTCAAGATTATGAACTTAAATTAGTAGATACAGCTGGTCAGGATGAATATAGTATATTTCCTACTCAGTATTCGATGGACATTCATGGTTATGTCCTGGTGTATAGCATAACCAGTGCAAAGAGTTTTGAGATTGTACAAATTATTTATGACAAATTACTCGACATCACTGGAAAGCTTCAGTAAATATCTTTATTTTCTAATGTTTGATGTTCACACACTTTTATTCAAGTCAGAATCACAAATGTTGAAAGTTATTTTTTTTTAGTGTCCCAATTGTATTAGTGGGCAACAAAACTGACTTGTATGTTGACCGTATGATCACGACAGATCAGGGAAAACGCTTAGCAAGCTCTTGGAACGCAGCATTTTTAGAAACCAGTGCGAAACAAAATGAGGTATATTTAAATTAAAAGTATATTTCTTTATTTTCGGAGTATGTTGCAAAACTCTCATAAAACATGATTTTCATAGTCTGTTGCAGATATTTTTCACACACTACTGAAAGAGATCGAGAAGGCCAATGGAAATGTACAAGAAAAAAACAATTGCATTATTTGTTGAACCCGAGATAATGGCGTTAACAAAAATGTAAATGTGTAAAACTGGGTAAAAAAAACCATTGGCATTATACTTTGGTACCTTTACAATCCCATTGAGACAAATACAAATGTCAAAAGCGTAAAAAAAGTGCATGTGAAACCATTACATTTAATTTTTTCTCGCTATATATATATATATATATATATATATATTTTGTTATAAACAATTTAATTATGGATATACACACATGATACAACAATGGATAATATTATTTATATCAATGATTATTATTTTTACAAAATAATTGATACTTATTTACATTCTGTTTCAGCGTTCGGATTATGTAATTAAGACAATAATTTGACATATCATTATTTTAATTTATATCCGATTATATGTTCAGGGTTCTAAAGTAGAAATAGAATTTATTATTAAGATCAACGCTCATAAGTTAAGTTATAATTTTAGTTAAGTTTATAAGGTTTCTTTTTTAATATATTTAAATATATCTTTACGCTTTATAAAAAATATATCGAATCAAAGAGTAATTAAAAAAATATATTCAAATACGTAGTACAATAATCTTATATAAATATGAATTTGATTTTATGTAAAATGTATTCTTTTTGCGTTTAATACGTTTTATATTGTTATTATTGTAAATTACAATTTATTAATGATAACATACAGAAAAATGAGACAGTACAGAGATATATTTTATTAAAAATTAAAAGAATATTAGTATTCCCGAAAAATTATTTCATTATCAGTTTATCATGCTCAATGTTGCTTAATTGTGATCGGACAAAAGTATTTTTTGTATAAAAAGCAGATATTTCTTGTTTCCATATTAGAATTCTAAAATTCGATAATACTTCAAAGTATATATTGATATTAATATTTATATATTTATTTTTATACACAGAAAAAAAAGGTTAAAATATTTTGTATTTGTATTTTGTATAGAGTCAGAATTGATTAATTATCGACGGTACACACGCAATTCTGTTTGTGAGAAACTCACGAGATGGCAATTTATTAAACTCACGTGATCTCTTATCAAGCGACTAGTTCTCTCATACGTTTATGCTCCATGTGCAACAAAATTCCTAGGAGTGCATTGAGAGATTGATTTGCCGACGACAATTCATCTGTTTTGTGTCACATTTTTCGTATTTTTCGTATTTTTCGTGACTACATCAAGCGGAGATCAATCCCGCCGAGATGCTGAATCAAGTATTGCGGCCGATCGCTCGCAATTTGGCCAGAAACAGTAAGAAATCCTCGCCTCAAAACTAAAAACTGTTCTACACACACGCACGCACGCACGCACACATACACACACACACACAATTTAATCAGTTCCATATACCTTACATAATGCCTTATATATTTTATATACATGTCGTTAAACATTAGTTTATATAAATTCGCAACGATAATAAATAATCGTTTAAGATTCCTTATCTGTTTTTTTTTATTCAAGAGATTCTTGATCCACATTTTCTACTAATTATCCTTTTAATTGATAGACCAACAATTTTTGAACAATACAGATTAATTATTTATTTGCAAATTTATATAACGAAATCCTGTAATTTATTAGCAAATCTAGTCTTTGCTTTAATTTCAGTCTCTCCTTTCTTGTGACATAACTTTGATTCAAGGTTATATGATTCAAGTGACATATTATTTAAACCAAAGTATTTCGATTTGATTAAAGATTTGTTATTAGAATTGAGATTGTTATTATCAAAAATTAAAATTTGCGTTTTTTTTCACAAGCATATCAAGTAAATGTTTAATTTTTCTGTAAAGGTGCTCGTTTCTCCAGTACAAAACCAGCAGATATTAAACTGGCAACAATAAATGACATACCTGTATCATGTGGCTCATGGAAAGAACACTACGATGCAAGACAGAAGGTTTACAATACTCAATTAATTGCTGGTTTGGCTGTATTCATTAGCACCATAGCTTACGTATGTATCAAATTTATTTCAATTGATGTTAAGCATATCAAACTATAAAATTTTACTTTAGCAATATGTACATCTCTTCTTTGATATGTATTTTAATAGAAGTTTATTCTACCTCTTAATTTTCTATATTGTCTTATGTATTGTAAATTAAATTGTACACATGATACAAGATCCATATTTTATTTTCAGATCAAATTTTCGGGTGTTATCTTCTTTAACTTTTTCCCACCTGACGAGTCTGAGCTTGAAAAGAAATGAACATTTTTACAAAATATTAGATAATTAAAATAGATATAAAAGCAATCTGGTAACAGCCTTGAGCTGTTGAGAATGTTATCTACTTTAATGTATGAGTGCAACATGCAATAACTTCTCAATAAATAGTTCATATTTATGAACATATTTGTCTTGATATTTACCTTGTTAAATATATGTTTCGAAAATTCGACCTATTCGGAAAAGTGCAAACAAAAATCTATCGAATAATACCATTTTAAGCACAATATTTTTGTTTCTATCTCATCTACTGAAGTCGCTCGCTTCTGAAACTTTAATTGTTAATAACTTTTTAACTAGAGGTGTGCAAACGAAAAATCGACCTGTTTGGCAATGTGCAAATGAATATTTATCAATTGAGCTATTTTTTATTTAATTTACTCATAGTTGGGGGGCTAGTGTGAAGATGGCCTCCTGAAATTTATTTTGTTAATAACTTTTTTACTAGAAGTGTGCAAACGAAAATTCGAAATGTGCATACATGTGCAAACGATGAGCAATCGAATAAGCTATAGAAACTTTATGTTTTTCAATGTTGGGGGGCTATCTTCACACAGGTGCTGCTGAAACATTCAGAATGTTGCAGAAGGCTTTTGGTGACCAGGCTCTATCAAGACCAAGAGTATTTGACTGGTATAAAATGTTGAAAGATGGTCGAGAAAGCGTAGAAAACGAACCATTTCAAAGACGACCAAAAACATCAACTGATGAACAACACGTGAAGCAAATCAAGGATTTGGTGCTCCAAAATCGTCGATTGACAATTAGAGAACTTGTCGATACTGTAAACATTTCATTTGGATCAGTCCAGACCATTTTGAAAGACCATTTGTGCCTGAGAAGAGTCAAATCTCTTTTGGTTCCGAAAACACTCAATTTTTTGAAAAAACAGCGTCGCGTTGAAGTATGTGAAACAATGATTTCTGACTACCAGGACAAGATGAAACGCATGATAACTGGAGATGAGACTTGGATCTATACGACCCGGAAACAACCGACCAATCGAGCGAATATTGTGCAAATGGTGAGGCAAGACTAAAAAAATCGCGCCAAAGTCGCTCAAAAATCAAGGTTTTGTTAACAGTTTTCTTCGATTATCGTGGTGTGGTGCATTATGAATTCCTTCCGCCGGGCCAAACTGTCAACAAGGAATATTATTTGAGTGTTATGCGTCGTTTGCGTAAAGCTATTCGCCTCAAGAGGCCAGATTTATGGCAGACAATTCACGGTTTTTGCACCACGATAATGCGCCATCTCACTGCACTAGTTCTTCGTGACCATTTCGCCAAAAACTCGACCCATATCGTTCCACAACCACCGTATTCGCCTAATTTAGCACCGTGTGATTTCTGGCTATTCAGTAAACTCAAAAGACCGCTCCGGAGACACCGTTTTGAATCGATTGAGAAGATACAAGCCGAAACGAAAAAGATATTCAAGGCCATTCCGGAAAAAGAGTTTTCAGAGTGTTTCGAGGATTGGAAAAAGCGTTGGCATAAGTGTATTGCATCGGGAAGGGATTATTTTGAAGGCGACGAATTTGATTTTGAAGAATAAATAAAGATTTTTCATTTTATAACAAAAATCTCGTTTATATTTGATCACAGTAATATATATGTATACATATAGTGGCCCATTTTAAATGATACAAGCAAATATCTCGAAAGAGATGGAAGAGATGTGACAAAATGTTTCACATAAAATTTCAAGAGTGACAAAAATTAGGGTTTTGAGTAGGTCAATACTTGTAATAATGAAATACATTAATAACTATATCAAATAGTACAATAATACACAATCACAATTTTTTAATTTAATGAGATCGCGCTATTTCTGAGAAGAATTCTAAAATATCTTGTATGGTAAATTCGAGTGTCACATTGCTATCTGGATAACAGCGCTGGATTAATTCTTCAATGTTTCTATATTGCGCAATAAATTCATTTTGCATCTCACGCCATACAACCTGGAGACATTAAAAATAAGTAAGATAATTATAACACTGAAGAAAGTAGCTTATGTTTAGGGAATGTATTGAAATTATTGCATTATCGAAAATACAAGATTTGTCATATTCTCCTTACTTGTAATAAATTTTCCTCTTCGCACAAATGCTTCTCAACTTTTCGATATAAATTTTCAAGACCTTTCTTAACTTCTCTCGCTGGATATTCCTTCAGTACGCGTCGCAATTCTTGCTTACTGAAGGCCATCTGATAACTGACTTCAGATTCTTTCACACCGGCTCCTACTTTGGCTTGTACACCTTCGAAGAAAAGCTGAAAAATAGATATTTCTGATTAACGAATTTTTGTACAATCATAAAAATCTCTTTAAATGACAACATACGTTAAGTTTTTCAAGAGGCCGTCCAAAATATTGCGTAACATAAGCACGAAGAGCGTCTTGATATTTTTGTTTAGCTTCCTTCCGTTCGTGATCCAAAACCGAGATTTTTAGTTGTGAAAGGAGGTCATAGAGATGATGAAAATTTTCTATAAAGTATGAAAAATATTAATTATTATAAATAATAATTATTAGTAATTGAAATTAAATAGATTATTTTATTAATTAGTAAAGAATTTTCCACTTACCCATTTTTATGACTTCTTGCGGCGTTTTGTGATGTTCTCGGCTGTGAATAACGATAGCCTCGAACATCGCACTCACGAGTTTTGTGTACCATTTTTCAAGATCAACTTTCCTATCAGAATTGCGGAAAATCTTCTCCGCGGTTCTTGCAAATGGTCCAAAATTCTCTATATATGGCAATATACCGCATTTGTGTCGGCGATTGACCTTCGTATCACATAATATAGATTGCAGCTGCGCTTGCATGAACTTATCGAATGCTCTTTTCACATGAATTAGAGCGGATGCGAATGTCATCGATAGAAATGAACCGGTGTCTTGAGCGGACATAACGTGCTGTGACAAACGTACTAATACGTACATGCACCAACTGCAAACAACACACAATTATTTTTTATAATTGAAAACTGTTTAAGAAAATACTAGATATTTTTGAATGAAAAAAACTGTTTAAGAAAGTACTAGATATTTTTGAATGAAAAAAATTATTTCTTCGAATGCACTCACAAGCTATCGATTTTGTCCAAGAAACCAATAAAATTGTTTAATTCGGTTTCCAATGACGGGAATATTGCAGCCATTGTTGCACGAACGTCTTCGTTCACTTGACGTTCCAATCTTTTACTTGTCGTCGAAGTTACCGATCCGGGACTTGCCGCGCCATTACTTACGTTCTCCACTTCTTCCATCTCGCTGCTCTATACAAAGCAACAAATATTCATGTTCATAAAGAAGCTGTATAAAAAGTCATTAATATACTTACTTTGGAGGGCGAGAGAACAGAATCTAATTGAAGAAATGAAACACAGAAGCCTTGTTCGGCAAGACACACCGGCTGCATCTGTGAAAGTACGCAATCGAGGACTGAATCTAAAAGATTCCCTTCATCTACCGGAATCCATATTTCGCCGCTCAGCAAACAAATGGGTGCCGGATTGAGTAAGTCTTCACCTTTTTGACCGCTAGACTTCGATGTATTTGCTTAAAATTCATATGTACTTATTAATAACTTCTTATTAATATATAAAATTTATAAAAATTATATGGAATCAAATATAAATATCTTTATATATTTATTATTTTACCATTTATTTATTAATTAATGTTCTACTATGAGATATTTATTGTTCTACCTTGTAGACGTTTGCTGATAAGTTTATTCTTAGCTTCCTCGAAAAAGCGTTTCAGATCCCTCTTGTATAACTTACTCATAGTATCAGTATAGACTTTGGTTAACTGTACAAAGGCTTTATTGTCTAATGCTCTTAGTAACTGCATCAATTCAGTATACGGTACAAGCTCATTATGAACTCCTTGATGAGTTGGTAAAATTAAATCTGTCATAGCAGTCGATGTATCTCCGATATCATTACCCTAAAATTTGATTAGAAAATTGAAATAAATATTCTTGTTTTAATCATATATTTAAAATGTAATTAAATTTTTATAATCACGTTATATTGGCAAAAAAAGATAAGATATTAAAAATAATTATAAAATTACCAAATGTATAAAAAGATTATTTAAATGTCTAGCAACAATGACTGAGAATTTTGCTTTGAGCTTGTCCAATCGCCTTTTTTGTTCAGTGACAGCACTCAATTTGTCCAATCCTGGTGGAAGAGATGCTGTAATGGCTTTCAAGAGTGCTGCACCCGCAAGACCAAGTTCTTCTCGTTCTCCTGGAAGCTCAGCTTCGTTTAAAGTACGTTGATGCGTTGCAGAAATATCTAACTGTGACTTGAAGAATAAAATTATTTTATCAACAGTTTCAGCCGATATAAATTTGGAATCTAACAGGACATGCAATTCTAATTACATATTTATATTTTTACTTAAAAAATTGAATTTTCTATCAGATACCAAGCTAATTATGATAAAATTTAATTATATGCAATAATATTATTTTTATTAATTACTTACAATCACTAAGTTTAGCTTATCCAATAAAAGCCTCGCATTATTATTCGCTGTATGTATAGCCTGATTTTTTTGCCCGACTCGAGCCATAACTTCTCTTATTCTTCCTAATGCTTCATCGTATGCCGCTAATCGCGCTTCTACAATAGAAGCTTCGATTATTGCTGCATCTATACTGTTCATCAGTTGAGTTACTCTTTGCTCTGATGCTAAGACTGAATGTACATTTTCCTATATAAGAACACAATAAAACATTAATATTTCACAATATCATCAATTTGCATATATTATCAATATGCTTATTGTAATATTTTTGATAGAAAAAATTAAATATTATTACTTTACCCCATCAAGAATAGACAAATCTTTTGAAAGAGTTTCCATAAAAAGCTCAGCATTGGAAACAGCATATTCACAATTATCCATCATTTGCTTCAAATCAGTAGCCTCCTTTTCAGTAATAGGTTGGTAGTCTGAACTGATAGGTGATGCCAAAAGATCTGAAAATTATATAGATAAAATCAACAATTAAAAAATTTTTAAACAAATATAAAGGAAGATACATTCACAATTGTAGACTTATTATATTAAGAAATACCAGGTGTAAATGTGATACTGTCGCTTTCCTTCAATGCAATTGGATCAATCAGCCATTCCTTGGGAATATTTTTAAACTCTGGCCTCTGAGCTAGACTACACGAATAAGTATACAAATTACTAATAAACGTTCGTCTTTCTTGTACTGTAGTAGATGACCATTTGTAAACTTTATCAATATGCAATTCTATATCCATGGAATCATTTTTCACACCATCTACAATTTGTATATCACTTAGAGACCATGATTGTTTTTTCTTATAAACATTTTTGTCATTCTTCTTCACTTGATACAGTATAAGAGATCCTGGCGTGTCTGTTGTTGTAGCCAAGCATAGAAAACTCATCTTTTTTTTCTTATAAGCTTTGCTGACATAGCATACGCTGAGTAGCTTTTCATCACTGGGAGTGAAAATTTCCCTTTGCAGAGTATGTCGAATGGCTGCCATCGCTGAGACTTAATTAGTTAATATAGTCTAATATTTTTTACTTATATTCCTCGTTACTTAGATATTTTATCTAACATTTCTTGAAATTCTTGGATTCTTTTATTTTGAGTGAAATCATCGGTGTCGATTAAGCCTAATTTTATCAAAATCAGAGGTGAAGATCAGTAAATAAATAGTTCTAAACAATTACCCTAAATTTTGTAGATAAAATTAATAAATAATTTAACAATTAAACTGTATAGTATTTTGAAATTATTGTATTAACAAGATTAAAAATTAAATAATTGAATTCAACGTCGTGTAACAAAATCTATAATCTATTTATTTATTAACGAAACAATTAATAATGTGACTGTCTTAAAAAATTGTGAAAAGGGAGGTTATATTTTCTACGAATAAAAAATATACATTTCTCATTGTAATATATTTGAAATGAAACTTACGTAAGCATTGTTGAAAATCTTCACGTCAAGCAGTCATACATACATACACACATACACAATTTCGTAATAATCTCGTCACAAAATTGTCAAGATTGTTTTTCCTTCCGAATCGTTCGAGTATCTGTATTTAAGTACAGCTTCTGTATTTAATTGAGAGCCATATGAATCACTGAATCATCGTGAATATCTGTCGCAATTTTTAAAAGCTTAAATTAAAAAGAAAGTATAGAAATAAAAAATACGATTTAAACTGACCTCTCATCGTATACTACAGTGTCGAATGTAGCATGACAGCATCACGTTGCAGTGCGTCACGATAGAGAGTATCGCATCGGTAGGAGTGATGTAGTGAATGTAACACGAAGAATCAACAATGCGATAAGAATGAGGCGCGCGTGGCCTGCCGTTGCTCAGTTGTTCGCTCTGAAATGTTACAGGTAAGAAAAAAATTAACGCAAAATCCGTCTAAGTAAACACGTGGCTGAAAATAAAACAAATGGAACGTCATCATTGGGAAGTAGACTTGTTTTTTTTTTTCTAATTTTAGAAGATAAATTTCTCGTCGTGTCACAGTGAAATCTCTCTATATTTATTACGTTTCAGCATTCAGCTGGCGAAACATTATATGAGCACGATGGCACATCCGTTAATAGCAGTATGCCAAATGCGATCGATAGCTGATAAGGTGAAGAATCTGGAGGTTGTGATTGAATTAGTTGCTGAGGCCAAACGTAGATCAGCCACGGTGTGTAGACTCGATAAATTAATATCGCACATGAAATCGACGTTCTTCTTTCCTCTAATTTTTATTTAATGTTTGTTTAATGTTCACAGATGGCATTTCTTCCTGAAGCCTGCGACTTCTTGGCAGATAACAAGAAGGACACTGTCGCTATGGCTGAACCCCTGACTGGACAGACAGTAACGTCTTACAAAGAAATCGCTATCAAAAATAATATCTGGTTGTCCTTGGGTGGAATTCACGAAGCTGTAAATCCGTTTTATCTTAATATCTCTGCTTTACATCAATTTAAATTGTATAAAAGACCGAGTAACTATTTTTAAGTAATATATGTGCCTGTCGTTTCAGTCAGATGATGCAGAAAAAATTTACAATACACATATATTGATAAATAACAAGGGACAACTAGTAGCCGCGTATAGAAAGATACATTTATTTGATATGGATAACAAGGATACCGGGGTACGTTTGATGGAATCAGATTATGTGCTTAAAGGAACTGAGATCGTGCCACCTGTATCCACGCCAATCGGTAAACTCGCGCTTAGCATTGTATCCTTGAATAAGTTCATTTTTCTCTCCGTTGCAAATTACAAATATACGCAGCAACGCTTAACAATAAACTCAGTGTTATGATATGCGTTTTCCCGAGCTGTCGCTGACTCTGCGAAATATGGGAGCGCAGATTCTCACGTATCCATCGGCGTTTACATATCAAACCGGCGCCGCACACTGGGAGATGATGCTACGAGCACGTGCTATAGAAAATCAGTGTTATGTCGTCGCGGCAGCACAAACTGGCGCACACAATAAAAAAAGAGTGAGCTGGGGTCATGCCATGGTAGGCTATAATCTGCTTTCATATTTCTTTGGTAACATAAAATTTTAACATAAGAAATATAGAAGATGGACATGTTCAGTTATGACGGAATTGGCTAAATCTTGATGCAAATTATTTTTTGTATTTATATACATATATGAAAATTCAATAGCCTTGTTACCATCAATTATATACTATTACTTTTAAAAGGCTATCAATGTAATCAAAATTATATATCCCCTTCAATAAATGAATTTAATAATATCGATTAAGAATTCTCTATAGGATAAATCTTATTATGAAAAATCACTCAGTCAGGATTCGAACCTGGACGTCCCTACTTTCCAGAACAGGCGTCTCTTTTCTCTTATGAAATTAAAATCCACCTTTTTTTTAGATTGTAGATCCTTGGGGTGCCATCATAGCACAGTGCGCAGAAAAAACGGGTATTGCTATAGCAGAAATTGATCTCGCGCTACTGGAAAAAGTTAGGAAAAATATGCCATGCGAAGAACACCGTCGCACTGACTTGTACTCCAAAATGGAATATCAAAAAATTATTTAATACAAAGGGTTTAATAAGAAAATGATTGTAATTATTGTAATTATTGTAATTATTGTAAACTCACAATATTTTAATTTAAAATAAATTTTGGCAAAGGAATAGAAATCTAGAATAAATGCATTATTATTAGTTTTATACTCAAAGTTATTGCAATTTGTTAAATTAAAATACATAGTTATTGTATTTTATCATTTTATTTACTAAAAAAAACATCATTATATTATACCTTGGATAAACGCAGCAAATTGTTATTTAATATATAAATAAATTATATTCTTTTGGAATTTATTTTAGGTTAAATAATTTCATCGCTAAACATTAATTTGCTTTGCCTTGATGGTATATACTGTCAGCTATCTCTGCTTTCGATTGGATACCCATGAGTTCAACATCCACTCCTTGTAGTGCCCAATTATGTTCACAAATTTCTAATGCTTCCCATTCAGACTTAAAGGCTGCCTTTGGATCAGGTGGCATAGACATTGCAGCTCCTGACACTTGATCTTGCACTAGTCTTGTGGTATCAGCAGCATTATTTTCACCAAGTACAAGCGTATAAATGGACCTTAGTCCAAAAACGTTGAGGAAATACCAGGAGGCCGAGGATACCCATGCAGCATCCAGTGTAACTAATTCTATACCCCGTTGTAACATTGGCTTGAAACGGAGCGTTAATGGAAATGGAACTTTAGCTGGAATTAAAATATTTATATTAAATTATATATAATCTTAAAAATCTTAAAAAAAGAGATAATATTAAAGTTTAATTGAAAGATTCAATGGATAGATATGCAATAAATGTCCAGTAGTATTGTTTTGCTATATACTTGTAACAAATCCAGAGAACATCCAGTTGATCCAACCACCGATCAGTACCATCGGCAAGACATTAGTTACATTTCCTTTTAGCATTTCAGTCATCATATTTGGATCGGTCATTGGATTTTGGGAAACCGGAGGACGCTTCTGAGTCTTAAAATACCCAGTCTCTTCGTTATTGAAGAAATGTCTTCTAGTCATAAACGCGACTTTCGGTATATATTGTCCATTTTCTCGAAGCAGTCTGGAGCGTATCATGACTTGACTGAAATACAAAATATTTAATACCGTAATCAATTTTCAGTTTCACAAGAAATTCTTAGATTAAATCGATGGCTAGACAATGCAATTACCTGTCTTGCACTTGGTGAAGTTCGACCTTTTTTTGCGAGGCGAGCAATATCGAAACATAGTGACGGATTATACCGACTAGAAACGTAATGACTACTATAGGCAAGAATACCCAGCCTCGGATATTCGGATCCAGCAATAACTCAGCCATGTCAGCTGTTTCTGCAGCTAAAATCTATTCGCAACAACAAAAATAAGACACTGGATGGCGTAAAAGCTAGCTCATTGCGTCGCCACCATTTACAGGTTATGTCAACTAAATTTCCTTCAAATCGACTAATTAATTATACTGCTAACCTTTGACTATAATAAGTGTAAATGTTTTTATAGTCAAAGTGCTGTCTCAACTTCTCTCAGATTCTGTACATGTCCACCGACACTATCGATATCGTTTAATTAACAGCCAATGACAGCCGCGCTTTTTTCCAAGATCGTCCTTGCTATTGGCTGTGTGTTAGTTAACGTTGGACATGTCGGTGGACAGAATCCCGGAACTGCTCAAACAGATGATAGATAATTTCATCGTTTTATAATGGTAACGCTGAGTCAGCTAACAACTAAAAAGTTAAATCCCATCACTCTCATTTTAAGTTAGGTTCCAAAATTTATTCTTTCCGAGGAAAATTTTACTTGAAATATATAATACATATGACGTATATTATATTGAATAAAATTTTCCTTAGAGAAAATATTTTGGGATGCAACCTTGGATTATGTCCGGAAATACCACTCGAATGATTCCTTATCGTTTTATTCTTGATCATCGAGTATTAAACAAGGATAAAATCATACACGGGAGCACTCGAATATTTCCAAAGCCTTAGAGTTCACAAATTTCGATGACTGCTTTGCAGAAGCAGTAGAAGTGATCATGCGTTCAATTAATTACAAATTGTTCAATAATCCCGCAAAGATCCCTGGTCAAATAAGAAAACAAAAGCTAGATTCAAAATGATCAATGAAAAATTCAAAAATGATAAAACTGAAGGAAGTCATAATTGGCAAGAAATCTCATTCCCAGGATTCATCTCAGAATGAATATAAATTGAAGGAGATATTTCATGAGATATTTCAATACAATAAAATAAAGAGAGATTCATATTCTAACAAAAGATAATACAAAATAAAATTACATCTATATAAATGTTTTTCTAATGATACATCTATTATTATATCATAGTGTTTATGTATGATTTATTATATGGTTTCAGTAAAATGTTATTGCATCTCTTGTTAAAATATAATATGTACAAAAATTTTTATTTCAAAGAAAAGAGTTTATAAATATGTTTTTATACTCGCAAAAACTCGGTATATGTCACTTATTTACAAATAAAATAGATACACATTCTTGTCTCGTATCCCTTTCTTTTTCTTTACAAAATGATGCAAATTCTAGTATGTAAAATATTTTTTTATTCTATATGTCATGACAATATGCAACTCGCATTTTTCATTTTTTTTCTTTTTTTTCTTTAAGATAATTTTAATATCATCTGATAAGTTACACAGTTAAAACATGTCCCTTAATTCCATAATGTACATACATGATACATTAATAGTTCATAACGGAATAACGGAAAGTGTTAACGAATATTATATATATTACATATATAAAAAAAGAGAGATACGTTCAAGTAAAATATCCACTTTTTAGGAATTAATTTATGATGTTTTGTTCTTAAACATGAATAATTGATCTTCTATTGAGGAGTAACTTTAATTTTCTATACAATTTTATTTCGAATTTTGACAATGTTAAAAGTATTAAAATAATTTTATGTTCAAAACATAAAAGAAATATATTTTATGCGATTCAACTAAATTAAAAAATCCAACTAATTGGAATGTAAATTACATATATACTATGAATCATTACTGTCTACTCATTATAAATATTATGTTTTATGGATGATCAATTTACAATTATCTATATCCAATATTTTAAAAGCCACTCCTCAATGCTCGAATGTATCAATTAAACTATAACTAGATGCCGACTGCCATCTTAATATATACATATAAAATATAATAATTAGGATGCAATTGATTAGAACGCATTGAGATACATAATACATTTCAAGAATTTGCATATTTTCAAAATTTACAAATTGAAATTTACAAATATATCTTTACATAACTTAAATATATTCCCAACTTTTTCCGTTAGCTTCACATAAGACAAAATTAACAAACAAAAGGATTTAATTTACCTTGTATATAATTCTCAGAATTATATGTAGTTTTACACAACCAGAAATAGGTTACACAAACAGAAATAGTATTAATATATAATTGTGATAATGACTTTTACATACAAAAATACAATACGTTTTGTATTAATTTTATCTTATGTTGAACTTTATTGCATATTGCCTTATTTTATATAATATGTATATAATCATGTGCTAATAACTTATTACTTCTTATTTAAAGAGGAATTAATCTACATGCATGTGCATTTATTTTATCAATTTTTTCTTTTCATGATCGATAAATTTTTTTATTGTAAACTAACTCCAAACAACTATGAGATCACACAGTTATATACTGTGAAAGTATATCCTATTGTTGACTATTATAAAAGAATTAAAAGAGAGAGAAAGATGTATGTATCTGTATTTAAGTGTAATTACAAATAACAACTGATGAATTCATAAGTGCTCTAGAAGAGCCCACACACATACACATATACATACACATACATGTGCAATCGTACACAAAAATAAAAAATATCCTATTTAATAATATACTCAGTAATTTTGTACTAACGTTTCATACGCATTAATGAGTGATTAACACATTCAATTATATTCGCGTAAATTGAATAATATTCAGATATTTATATTATAATCAATATTATTTATATTACAAATTGATTCAACAAAATTATTTATAAATACAGCTTGTAAGTCTTTGACACAAGATAACTTTTACACATAAAAATATAAGTTTTATTTAATATGTACATATAGTAACTATAGAATCGGATTTTACCATTTGCTACCTATAGATATATAAATAGTCGTAATCATTCAAAAGAAAAATTATCCGTCTCATATTAAAAAAATATATATTTTTTGTTATAAAGACATATATTAACTTATTAGTTTATACGCTATTTCTTTTTTAAATAAATATAATCCAAATTGTATTTAATTATGAATATTAAAAGAAAACATTTAATTTAAAAAAGCAATAGTTATTAAATATATATAATACTTATTTTTCCATACTATTTTTCCGACATAATATGACATAATAAAATTGTATTTATTTTTATTAATATCTTTTATCCAAGACAGTTTAGTAAAAATTTCTTGCTTTAGGCCAATATCTATAGTCTAATGGTAAATTCAACCCTATATAGTAATGCTATTTAACACGTTTTCAAGTTTTCAAATTCTAGGCAAATAAAAATATATTTATCTAAATATACCCTCGACTCCATAAAATAATATAAATAATTTTTATAATTTGCATTACGTATAGACCTTCTTATTCTTCGTGTTTATTATTTAAATTCTTTATTAGTATATACGATTCAATTAGAGTATTTATCATTATTTCGATGCATTCTAAATTGTAGGATAGTTTAACAGATTGCTGTCCCACACGCTCTATATTTTAGAGATTGTAAAAATCAGTATGCAAAATAGATAACGATTTTTTTGTCATTGTATGTACAACTGGCAAGTTGAACGAGATATTTTCTGATGTGTAAATATTAAGTTCATCGGTTTTTGCATATTTAAATTTAATTCGCATTACTCAACTAATTCTCAGATAATTCGTATATTTGTGGTCTCAGCGTAAGCTAAATTCACAGATTTTTGAACAAGCAGATAAATACCATTTAAATATTTAGAATAGGTATATATGGTAAATATGCAGTATAACGCCCCCCTTCAATTTTCTTGTAATTTTGTAAATTTGTATATTTTTTGCGTAAAATATATTCTGAGAGGGCAAATCCCGTTTTTTTTAAATTAAATTTTAAAGTTTTTTGATATCGATAAATCAGAAAATGATAATTTAATAATATAATATGACTGCGCATGCTCATTAAACACTTTTCTGCGCATGCTTATTAAAAATTAAACAAATATTCTCTGCTTTAGAAAAAAATTTTTAAAAATAAAAAAGATAAATATAAATATAAATATTCTTCTTTTATAAATATTCTCTGCTTTCTCTGCTTTATTCTTCAGAAATTGCGTTTAAATATGCAAAATTAACTAATATCATCTGATTATGATCAGTCAAATTGCGATCTCAAAACATTTTACAAATAAATTTTGGTCATATATTAGCATCACCAACTACGTTTTAAACAGCAAGCCAAGGATTATTATTAATTTGTTCAATATCTCATTTGTTGAATATCCCATTTTATACTTAATTTATCATTTAATTTATAAATGTATTTTAAATTAATTAAAGCAGAAAATATTCGTTTACTTTTTAATAAACATGTATAGAAAAATGTATTATTTAATGAGCACGCACAGTCACATATTATTAAATTATCATTTTCTGA